ACATTCTCTCTGGAGATCATTTTAGTTCCTAGTAAAGCTTCTTTGTGTTCTAGTTTTTCTCTATTAACATGTAGTAATTGTTACATCCTTCCCCATCTTCAACCTGTTTCACTTCCAGGAGTGTTCCTTCCTCAGCTAGAAGGCTAAATGGTAGATAACAAAAATGGTGTAACCATCTTTTCTCCTTCAGTTCTACCTCCTCTGCTATTAAACTGTGTAAAATGGATTTCTGTGGATATATTCCCTGCTTTGACTCTGGACTGATCATACCCCTACACTAAAGACTAAACAGGCTTTGAATAGGCCTTTCAAAACATTAACTCTTAGAAAGTCTTTATCCTTCCTAATGTCTAAGGAGGTTCAAAATCCTCACACTGGTCCAACTTGTGCAGCACTTAGAAGACATTTTTGCATTGTATGGGAATCATGAGCATTTTCTTACTTAATAGATAATGGCATTTTTTAAATTTATATTTGGTTCTTTTTGTTGTTTTCTGGTTTGAAAGGAGGGGCAGTGAGATAAGTATACTTGTACGATAGATTTACAGCCAGAATCTACTTTTACTTTTAGCGTTAAAGCATCTTTATTTATTTATTTATATTTTGCCATAGGGCTCATGCACTTGCTGGAGGGACAAAGAGAAAGAGACAGAAGCATAGTGACATAGTGAGATTCTGTCAAAAATACCTACCACTCTAATTGACAAAAAAAAAAAAAAGACAAATCCTGTGAAATATGTATTCAGATTCAATGGAGAAGAGAACTACTATATTAAGAGAGATGGAGGGGGAGTCAAGAAAGTATCCTAGAGAGACTAGCTGATGGTGTAATGGCTAAACTCTCATATAGTTGACTGTGGTTTGAGTCCTGAACCCCGTGGCTTAAACTCATGCTGGGTGCGTGTGCATGTGTGCCCAAAATCTCTAGAGGAGAATGGAGAAGGATTGCAACATGGCCATCTCCGGGGGAGTGGGGGGGGTAGTTTCTCACTTTCATCTCTCTGTTTCTCTGGCAAGCACACACACCCTGTAACAAAAATCTCTCTCTAAAAAAATAATAGTTCTAGTAGAGTTGATTCTTAATTCTGAAGTATTAGGGGAAAAAATGAGAGAGTAGTATGAGCAAAAACATTGGGGCAATGAGAATACACCTCATTTGGGAGAGTTGTCCAGGTTGTTTGGTATAGCTGGAAGAGTCACACTAACAGACAGTGGAGCAACAGGCAAGGGACAGGTCCTGTGAAAAGAGACTTATGGTTTGTCCAACAGATAGTGATACCATTCATTGACATATAGAATACACAAAAAGACTTATATTTATGTAATTGTGTGTGAGAGGATTGGAGAGAAGGAGTTGGTTTCATAACATGAAATTTGTAGTATTGGAGGACTACTAGTAGAGGTATACCATTAGAAATACAGATGGCTCTAGAGCAGTACTATCCAACAGAAATATAATGGGAACTAAGGATGTTATTTTAAAGTTTCCAGTAGCCATGCTAGAAAAGTAAAAAGAAACAGGTGACATTAAAATTTTAAAGTTTATTTCTTTCATATATGAGGGAGACAGGCCCTTTATGCCATTCCTGTAAAATAAATTTTCCGTGGTGCACTCATTTTACAAATAGGGAAATTACAAAAGCAATACTGTGAAAGGGTAAATAATTTCCAAAACTAACATAGCTAGTGAGTATAAACTGTGAACCAAGGAAGAAGGACAGACTTAAAATACAAGAGAAAAAAGGCTAACCAATGGAATGAGGTCTTTAAGAGGGAGAGAATTGATGGTATCCAGAGCATGGGAGGCAGGAGTAACCCTGAACAAGACTGAAAGTCAGTAAATAAATATAAGAATCTGAGAGTGAGTCAGGATTCATGTAATTTTATACAGTGGGGCTGGAGGTCAAGTTGGTTACCACAAATTGGCTTCTACTTACTCTGCAAAAGACAAAGCAAACTAATATTCTAACAGTGAAAGGATGGAATTGGGTAGTCAGTCCAGGGTTGAAGCCTGCAAAAGGTTTAAAATAAATGTTGAGATAAGTAAATAAAGATACTTTGTTTTTGAGAGACAGAGATTTTTGCTGCAGGGCATGCACACTCACCAGAAAGAGAGACAGAAAGCGAAAAATCACCCCCCAAGGAGGATGGCCACGCCGCAATCCCTTGTCCTCCATTCTCCTCTCGGGATCTTGGGCATACAAGCACATGTGCCCAGCATGAGTTTAAGCCACCGGGTCTGGGACTCGAACCACGGTCGACTATGTGGGAGTCTAGTGATAGCCATTACGCCAACTGCTGGTCCCAAGAAACATTTTTTTTAAATAAAAAAGGTTAAGGAAACCTGATTATAACACCAAAAACAAAAACTGGTTTTTTTTGTTTGTTTGTTTGTTTTTTTGAGACAGGATTTTACAATGTTGCCCTTGCTGTCCTCAAACCTGAGATCCTCTTGCAGCAGCTTCCCAAGTAGCAATAGAATAGGATTATAGAAATGCACCACTGTGCCTGGCTCAATCCTGTAGTTTTTAATTTTAGGGAGTTAAACCACTTTATCACAAATCACCTCATTCCATTAAACTGTATTAACAGATTATACCTTCTACCAGAAACAATATTAAAAGCATGAAAATAAAATTTTCTATGAAAATACAGTACAAAAGTACAAAGTATAAGATAGTAACCTGGCTTTGCATGTGGACTTAGCTTATGAATAATAGCTTCTTAGCAGCATGCACCACAACAGCTTATCCAAGTCTCATCATTTTAACTACTCTCTATTTTCTTGATCAGAGTATAAACATAAGAAATGTGTTATTTTAATCTGTTTTTACATTGTGTGGCAGAATGCCAAGTACATTGTAAATACTGAATCAATATTTTTAATTACTAAATAAAAGATAACACCTTTTCTCTCGTTTCTTTTTTACTGTTATTATAGCCTTACTCTGATCATGGAGTTCAAGCAACATACCATCAGGTTTATGCTCCAAGTGCCATTGCTATGCCTGCTCCTGTGATGCAGCCTGAACCAATTAAAGTAAATTTGTTTTGACTTCTATTTTTCTTCAGTTTTAGTTCAAGTTTTCTAAGTTTCTCTTCTGAAGAGGAACAGCTTTGGATATTTACATCCCATTTGTGATCATAAGTAAAGAATTAGCATACTCTTCCATTCTGAATTAACTATAATTTCTGTTAATTAGTTTTGATGAAGTCATAAACCATATGTGGTTGATTTTTTCTATTTATTGTGGTAAAATATATATAACTTAAAATTTAGCATATTTTAAACTTTTAAGTGTGTAATTTAGTGCACTAATTACATTCATAATGCTATGAAACCATCACCAGTATTTCCCAACTTTTAATCACCCCAAATAGATACTCTTTACCCAGTAAGCAATAACTCTGGAAACTTCCAGGTCCTGGTAATACATACATACATATATATATACACTCGTCAGAAAGACAGAGAGAGACAGAGAGATAGAAAGTGAGAAATCACCCCCTAGGGGGGATGACCACACAGCAATCCCTTATCCTCCATTCTCCTCTCGAGATCTTGGGCATGCACACACATGTGCCCAGCGTGAGTTTAAGCCACCGGGTCCCGGACTTGAACCAAGGTCAGCTACATGGGAGTTCATTGATATAGCCATTACGCTAACTGCTGGTCCCATCCTCCAGTATATTTTCTGTCTTTTTATAAATTTACCTATTCTAGCTATTTCATATAATCAGATTGTGCTTATCTATGGCAATAGCATGTAGCATTTGTGGAGAGATGAAAATAGTTAATGATCTCCTCTTCCACTTTGGTAATTGTGTTGATGCTTCCTAATTAAGATGATCATTCTTTGGAAAATCCATGCATATATTCAATATATTATGACTATCTAGTATGGATCAGGGAATTCTTCCTATTACCTTATAACCAAGTTTCCTGGTGAAACTCTTATATCATCACTTTAGGGAAATGGACTTTATTTCTGGTAAAGAACCACAGTTTGACTAACTGTTGAAACAATAATTAAGAATCTTGTATATGGTATACTTAGATGTGAAAATAGGTGTTACTGCAATAAAGGGATAAAGTGATAAAGATTACCTGTTTTACACTCAGACTTATACTTCTGACCACTTTTTTTTTTTTTTTTGTGAGAGGTTTTTGCTATAGGGCGCGTGCGCTCGCCAGACAGACAGAGAGAGACAAAGAGACAGAAAGCAGGAAATCACCCCCCAGGGGGGATGGCCACGCCGCAATCCCTTCTCCTCCATTCTCCTCTCGGGATCTTGGGCACGTACGCACACGCGCCCGGCGTGAGTTTAAGCCACCGGGTCCGGGACTCGAACCGTGGTCGACTACGTGGGAGTCCAGCGACATAGCCATTACGCTAACTGCTGGTCCCACTTCTGACCTATTTTATAGTTTCAGCTCAATACCTACTGAGACAGTCTTTTTTTTTTTTTTTTTTTTTTTTTTCAGATTTTTCCCATAGAGCACATGCACTCACTGGAGAGATGTAGAGAGAGGGGAAATCAGAAATCGCCTCCCAGGGAGGATGGCCATGACACAATCCTTTCTTCTCCATTCTCCTCCCAGGGTCTTGGGCATCCATGCACACATGCCCAGCATGAGTTTCAAGCCACCAGGTCCAGAACTCGAACCACAGTCAGCCATGTGAGAGTCCAGTCTCAACCACAATGTCTTACCCCAAGATTATCTACTCTTAAGAACCCACTCACTCTCTTGTGTTCCCTATCTTATTAGCATTCATTGCCATTATCACTCACTGTATCTCTTCACTGTCTACCACTGTACCACAATCATAAAGTAAAACCATAATTTTGACCTAGTGTCCAAACCTAGAATGTTACTAAACTTTATTTATAGATTTCATTTTCACTATTGTCAGAAAATTTTCTAAAATGGATGACTTTTGGGTCAGCCCATTGGTATGGTGGTTAAGGTGGCTAGATCCCACATGTCCAACTGCATGGTTCAAGTCTGGACACAGTGACTTGATAATTTCATCAGGCATGTATGCATGCATGCCCTAAATCCCAAATCCCAAGAGGAGAATGAAGAAAGGACTATGACATGACCATTCTCCTAGGGAGGTGCTTTCTCATTTTCCCTCTGTCTCTGTCTCTCTAACACCCTATAGCAAATTTTAAAAAGGGGGCGGGTCTAGTAGATGGCATAATGGTTACATTGCTGGACTCCCACGTGGCCACCTGCAGTTCACGTCCTGGACCTGGTAGCTTGAAAATCACACCAGACACATGTGTGCACATGTCCAAAATCCCAAAAGGAGAATGGATGAGAAGGGATTACAAAGTGGCCAGTCCCCCTCAGGAGTGATTTCTCACTTTCTGCCTCTCTGTCTCTGTCTCTCCAGCAAGTGCACTCACCCTGTAGCAAAAATTTCTTTTAAAAAAAGGACGACTTCTAATGTTAACATTTTTACCAAATATACACACACATCTGTTTTTGCTATGCCATATTAGATGAGTGCTAGTTGTTTTCAGTTACTGAGATAAAGAGGATAAAAATATCCCATGACTTTTCTTTTTCTTTTTTTTTTTTTTTTTTTTTTTTTTTTGGGGGATTTTTTTTTTTCCCCTTTTTTTTTTTGGGGGGGTTTTTTTTTTTTTTTTTTTTTGAGAGAGTTTCTGCTATAGGACATGCGTGCTCACCAGAGAGATAGAGAGATAGAAAGAGAGAAATCACCCCTCGGGGGATGGCCACTCCATTCTCCTCCATTCTCCTCTCAGGATCTTGGGCACACACACATACACTCTGGGCATGAGTTTAAGCCACTGGGTCTGGGATTCGAACCACAGTTGACTACATGGGAGCCCAGCGACATAGCCACTATGCTAATAAAATGCTGGTCCCAATGCCTCTGATTCTTCATCTGTAATAATAATGATATCTATTCCATTGGCTCTTGTGAGAATTGAATGAATTCATACATGTAAACCCCTTAGAGAAGTATTTAGTATACAGTAAGCAACTATAAAATTTCTTACACTTTAAATTTAAACTAATTTTTTCATATTGAATTAAAAGATATAAATTACTTTTTCTTCAATGGAAAATTCTGCACAGTCATAGTAGTCTATCATCTTTGTCTACTCTCTGGCCATAGATTGTGCTCTTTATAGAACATTTCCTAACTGGAAGAGATAAACTAAAGTATCTTTTTGTAGAAAATGCACCAGGCTGGGACCAGGAGTTGGCATAATGGCTATGTCATTGTACTCCCACGCTGAACCCCAAGATTATCTACTCTTAAGAACCCACTCACTCTCTTGTGTTCCCTATCTTATTAGCATTCATTGCCATTATCACTCACTGTATCTCTTCACTGTCTACCACTGTACCACAATCATAAAGGAAAACCATAATTTTGACCTAGTGTCCAAACCTAGAATGTTACTAAACTTTATTTATAGATTTCATTTTCACTATTGTCAGAAAATTTTCTAAAATGGATGACTTTTGGGTCAGCCCATTGGTATGGTGGTTAAGGTGGCTAGATCCCACATGTCCAACTGCATGGTTCAAGTCTGGACACAGTGACTTGATAATTTCATCAGGCATGTATGCATGCATGCCCTAAATCCCAAATCCCAAGAGGAGAATGAAGAAAGGACTATGACATGACCATTCTCCTAGGGAGGTGCTTTCTCATTTTCCCTCTGTCTCTGTCTCTCTAACACCCTATAGCAAATTTTAAAAAGGGGGCGGGTCTAGTAGATGGCATAATGGTTACATTGCTGGACTCCCACGTGGCCACCTGCAGTTCACGTCCTGGACCTGGTAGCTTGAAAATCACACCAGACACATGTGTGCACATGTCCAAAATCCCAAAAGGAGAATGGATGAGAAGGGATTACAAAGTGGCCAGTCCCCCTCAGGAGTGATTTCTCACTTTCTGCCTCTCTGTCTCTGTCTCTCCAGCAAGTGCACTCACCCTGTAGCAAAAATTTCTTTTAAAAAAAGGACGACTTCTAATGTTAACATTTTTACCAAATATACACACACATCTGTTTTTGCTATGCCATATTAGATGAGTGCTAGTTGTTTTCAGTTACTGAGATAAAGAGGATAAAAATATCCCATGACTTTTCTTTTTCTTTTTTTTTTTTTTTTTTTTGTTTTTTTTGGAGAGATTTTCACTGTAGGGCGCGTGCGCTCGCCAGACAGACGGAGAGAGACAGAGAGACAGAAAGCGAGAAATCACCCCCCAGGGGAGATGGTCACAACGCAATCCCTTCTCCTCCATTCTCCTCTCGGGATCTTGGGCATGCACGCACACGCGCCCAGCGTGAGTTTTAAGCCACTGGGTCTGGGACGCGAACCACAGTTGACTACGTGGGAGTCCAGCGACATAGCCATTACGCTATCTGCTGGTTCCCTCCCATGACTTTTCTGACAACCCAGTATATAAATTTGGCAATATCTCTTTTTTTTCAGTCTATTGTGTTATATCATTCCACGACCATCTTACCCCTCTACATGCATTCCTGTGTCAAATGCTGGGGTTTTTTTTAATTCTTTCCATTCCCACACGTCCTCCCCATGCAGTTTCTGTTATCTACAGTTATGCTATTTCTGTGTTTTCAAGTCTTTCAGTTTCTGTCAGAGTGCATTATATATTGAGCAGGGACATACAGTGTTTGTCTTTCATATTCTGGCTTGTTTCATTTAGCATTAAATGCTGTAGATTAATCTACAGAATCTTGCTGTTCTTTATGGCTGAGTGGTATTCTGTTGTGTGTACATGCCACTTTTTTTAAATCCACCCATCAGGTTTTGGACACTTAGGTAGATTCTGTGTCTTAGCTATTGTGAATAATGCTGCAATAAACATGGATGCACAAGTGTCTTTCCAACTGAATGATCTACTGTTTTTTGGATAAATTCCCAGGAGTGGATACTGGGTCTTGATAGTTCTATTTGTAACTTTTTGAAGAACCTCTATGTTTTCTGCAATGGCTATAGTATTACATTCCAACCAACAGTGTGAG